ATTGCATTTGGCCTTTGTAACTTTTTTGGATTCGAGCGTCACAAATGAGTCTTTTGTAGACGAAACGCGTGTCTGGCGTAAATACAAAATTTAAATCCTGGTATCATGGATGATGAGTGTATTTACCTTTTCGTTAATATTATTTTGTACTTTGTGTATGCTTATACCTAAACCATTCGTAAATTTATAATTGTAGTTTATAAAAAGTAAAGAATCCGTGTATTAAATAAAAGATTCAAAAAGGTAAATAATTTTAGAAATGGATAACTGTCAGAAAAAAACTACATTGGGCGCCATTATGAAATGCACTGGAAACAGTATAGTAAAGAAGATAAGGTATGTTTGCTTTTGAGACAACTCTCCACAAGAGACAAAATGACACAAACATTAAAAACTATAGGTCACTAAAAGGTCTACAAAAACAAGCAAAGCCTATACGCATAGTCAACTATTAAAAGTCCCGAAATGACAAATGTAATACAAATCAAACGAGAAAACTAACGGCTTCATTTATTTACAATTCAATTAACGAAAAATAGATATGTAAGAGCAACAAAAAAAACAAATTCTTAATTACAGGCTCCTAACTTCCGATCGACATATAAAGTATATGGCGGGGTTTAACTTATTTGAAGGCTCCAACCCTCTCCTAACCTAAGCACTGTTGACAAGCGGATGATGGTAATTGAAGTTACCATGATCCCAATATGACGGAGGGGAATCCCCTAAGATCTTTCCTTCTTAATTCCTTTGTTTTAACATAAATGTGGCTATTTTAAAACATTCGCAATGAGTCTGTAGAATTTTAACCTTAAACAGCTAACCGTCACTGAGAAAATTGAACACAATACAAATGCGTTGATGGTGGTAACTGTCGATCAAAATAGTTTGGAGATGATGGTAACTTTTCTTTTACACGAGGTTTTTTGTCAATCATGTAGAGTTTAACATCACTATCATTGGCACTCATACCACATCTTCTTATATCTATACATAAAATGAAACACAATAAACCATCTTAACTGAAACCACTATACTGGAGCAAAGACCAATACTAGAACAAGAGACAAAAATGTGTCGGGGGTAATAAATTAAAATGTTTAATAAAATGAAACTTTATTAAATGAAACAATAGCAGGAATGCAGGGTTGGGTAAGGAACGCTGGGAGTAGTAATATATATTAAAATAAAACTTGAAAACTTTCATTTGATTTTTTTTTTTACAATACTGCATACAACTTTTATATACAATGACGTTTCTACAAATTCAGTGTGTTGTTTTTAGAGCATGATTTAGTCCAACGGATTTTGGGGAAGTTACTCAAAGTAGCCGTCACAATCGAGTGATGCAGCAATATGCACGTTTGTATTTCATTTTGCACTGACTCAATTTGTGACGTTAAAGAAACTTCCAATGTCTGTTATGCTTCATGTGAAAAATATTATTTTACTTGCAATGTTTATATTCTCGTCCAATCTTTTTGTTAGAAGCATGTCAGGTACGTTGTGTCATGTTGTCTTTTAATAGGATTTCATTGACGTCCATTACTGATTTATGTTCACCACCGATTTCAATATCCAACTTAGCATAGATTAAAAAAAACCAATAAAACTTAAAAATAGAAGCAAATTGTGAAGGCAACTGATGTTAACATTTCTTTTTCCAGATATCGTAATTTCTTTCTTATATTGTTGGAAAAAAAATTAAGCAACACTACTATAGAAGGTTTAAGTTTAATAATTCTCAGCATACATTGAAGTGCATAAATGTAACAATAATGCAATGTAAACGTAGACACTTATACTATTGTTACATTAGTAATTATCGGATTCTTACCCAACCTTGTTTTCCGGCAATTAGTCTCCAACGTAACAATTTTTTTTTATTATTGTTACATTTTCATGTAACCGTAGCCAGTGCCTTTCTTTTTTTTTGTCGTATCATACGCGAATTATGTGTATTATATAATAGATTTGCTTTTCAGATGGTAGTTTTATGTATTATTTATGCAAATTTGCATCTGACGAAACCGTCATTCTTCTTCCTATTGAGAAACCCAGGCTAGCTCCTATTTTCACATTAACTGGATCCAGTCCCTGCTTCTGATACGTAGTACTCAACTGTGGGTCATAATATAGGACAAAATACGTAACGTAAATTAATTTAAGGATGAAGGGGGGCATATATATCGGCTAAATTGTACTTAGTTTGTCGTTTTATACAACCTTTTGGCACGTTACCACCATCCCAGAAATCAGTTACCACGATCTTTCAAAAATAACATGAACAGTTACCATCATCAACGTACTTTTTTCACTTTCTATTTTCTAAGTTACGGAAAACTGTTTAAAGGTAATATCTAAGACTCATTGCAAATGTTAATAGCCAAACGGCGGCTGAGTAAGGTTAGCCACATTTATGTAAAAACAAAGAAATTTAGAGGGAAAGATCTTACGGGGATTCCCCTCCGCAATATTGGGAGCGTGGTAACTTCAGTTACCATCATCCGCTTGTCAACAGTGCTAAGACAGTTGTGTAACAGTATAAAGAACACACTATAAAAATCATTCATGCAAGAACAGATCCGCTTTTTTCTATTTTTTGTAACTTTATAATCTTTATATACACACCATCCATATTTTTCCCGCCATGATCTTCAATTTCACAATAAAAAGAGAGGGATCCTAATGGTCTAGGTTATTAGTTTTTAAACACTTCAATTTTATCAGTCCTCAATAGAATTAGAATGTTTATTTCGTGCATTTACAGTCGTCTATCTTTAACCCTTATAATATGGGACATGGCTTCAGGGAACACAAAACAAATCCACTGTATATGGTATAGATGGGACTGGAGACTTGTGCATTATCAAAAAATAACATTATCTGTTAATCATTAAAAATTAAAAAGTTCCGAAAAATATTTTGACATTACTTCTGACAAACATTGCCATAAATTTCCACCATTATTCATTGACATAAGGAATCGTTAATGTATAATAAATAAAAATATACACATCATCTAACAATAACAAATAAATTGTCGGCCCCTGACATGGGACGGGCACTTACAAAATATAGCGGTGTTAAAAAAATAATTTAAAATAGCAAACGTTCAATCCTCCCTTTCCTGATAAAATGGATTAACAGCATAGCCTTACAAAACAAACCAGAAAAATGTAGTATGAATCAAAACAAATCAAAACTACCTATATCGTTTGATACTATGTTTTCATGTTTATCAGAGAAAATAGAATTTACTTTTATCATGTTTATTAATTTTTAGTAGTGTTGTCAACGGTTAACCGGGTTTGAACGACCGAATACCGAATACCAAAAACGCTAATCGGTTAACCGGACTTTTTTTCAATTTTGATAGATTTGATATATAAATTTGTATTGAAATCATTAAATAGTTGTGTTTTCTTTAAAAATTGTCGTCGTGGTAATTAATTTGACAGATCAATTGTCCAGTATATTGATTGCTATTGTTAATCCAAAAGTATAAAATTAATAAGAATTTGTCCATCAGCTCGGGTCAAGATCTTAAGGAAACATAATTAGCAAACATGTTATTTTAACAGTAACTTTAAATCAGTAATACGATTACATTTTACGATTTACTTCATTATTTCATTTTTGTTCTTATATTGTGTAGACCTACATCTGAATGTGCAATCTCCGTCGTGCAAGGCTTTGTCATACTTTAAACGAAATGCTAACTCAAAAATTGTGCAATGCAAACCAATGTGACTGTAATCATTGTATACTTGATAGTACGAGTAACAAGCTTTGGCTTATTCATTTCAAATTGAATCCTCCACATTATGTTCGGCGACAACAAGAGAAAATGAAAGAATCATCGGTTTCAGACATATTAAATTCTACGAGCTTAAGATCAAGACGTTTTTTTTTTATTTGGCAATCTGAAGTTAGTACATACGCCATAGTTGATACGGTGTATTTGATTATTAAAAGTCAAACTTCGCCAAGAATCTTCACAAACAAGCCTTATGATACCAAAGGACAAAATACAATTCATCGTATTATAAAAACGTAAATGTATGACTTGGATGGAAGGTTTTCACATTGACACTCATACCACATCTTCTTATATCTATGTGTAGGGTACTATAGATAAGGCCTTCAAACATCAACTTAAACTACCGGTTAACCGGTTAATCGGTCGAAAGATTATCCGTGTAACCGGTTAGGCAAAAGTGTACGATTTGACAACACTAATTTTTAGACATAAATCATGTTTCTAAAAAAGAAAAAAACAAACTTAAGGAATTTCAGGAACAGAGAAGATATAAATATTCAGAGCTATGATTACTACTGGTAACAAAAAATGTGATGTATGTCAAAGTGAATGACATAAAGCAATTAGCAATCAGTATATCATGTGTATATGTCGTTTTATATTTTAATTTGCTGTCATGAATTGAGATATCCGGAGTCGACATACATGACATACCAATATTTCCGACTGTGAAATATAAAAAAGACGGTGGCAAATGTTACAATCCAAACAGTTATATTCCTTTAATTCTTACATGCAATAGCTACATATAACCCATACCTGAATTATTAATATTAATTAAATAAACCAAGCAATGACCAAAATGGTTATAATTAGTTTCCTTTTACGATTCTCAGACCATGAGATTATTTCGGCCTTTCATAACAGTCCGGAAAAAGTAAAATCACAAAAATTCTCAGAGGAAAATTTAAAACGGAAAGTCCCTAATCAAATGCTTAAATCAAAAGCCCAAACATATCAAACGTCAAATGGATAACAACTGTCATATTCCTGACTTGGTACAGGCATTTTTTTATATGATAAATTGTGGATTTAATCTGCTTTATAGCTTTATATAACTTTTTATAGCTAGCTAAACCGGCCCTTCACTTGTATAACAGTCGCATCAAACGCCATTATATTGACAACGATGCGTGAATTTGAGTTTATTGATAGCATGTTAAAACTTCCATTTAAATCAATAGTTATAAATAAACAAGGAAGTAATTAACACGATCCGTGAAGCCATGAATAAGGTATATATGTATTATAACCAAATTTTAAATGTCCCTTGTTTCTAGCCAAGATGTTAGTTCAAGTTCATGTCAGAATGAATAACAATTGATTTGTTTACAGTATTCGTTACTTTATCTTGTAAAAATCTCATGCTGAGTTCCATTTACCTTAAACTGTTACATCGTCATGTCAACAGTTTATGATATTCAGTAGAATTGAAATGAGTGATTCCCACTTGCCTGCTTGTTTTACCGTTAACATACATGATATTAATATATATGAAGTTCACTTTGTGTTGATTTGAATTGTATTTGAAGGATTTTAGCACAAATTATGTTTGTGTTATTTAATTTGTTGGGTAGGTAGACACTTAACAAGAAAAGATGTAACTACATAAAAAAAACTTCATTTTGAAAAACAAAATATTAAAAAACTATTATAATTGCCGATTTGTTTATCTTTCAATTTATTCGTCAACTCGTTATAAAACTTAACCTTTAGCGGACAAAATATGTGGCAAGTTTTAATCTAGTAATGACATTATCTTGCGTTACCTATCGTTGTAAATAATAATAACAAAATTACAAATCTGATATTTCTTTCAAATATCTAAGATGGCACAGGTGTTGGCAGTACCAGGAGATGTTAGGCATGGATTTTCTTGCATAGGCCGATTCAACCATGACTTTGGCCGGATAACTGGGATAGCAGCTACAATAAAAGGGAACATTTTGCTATGTGACTATGATAAAAAGAATATGATATTGGTTGATCCTCTTGGAAATTATTTAAAGAAGCTGGACTTAGACAGTGAACCATTTGATGTAGCTATAACGAGTCAAAATATAGGCTTTATTACACAACCTAACTCCAGGTCGGTCCTACAAATTGATCCTGACAGAATGATTGTACTTTTAAAAGCAACTAGCAACGAACTTAGCACTACCGTGTTATGTGTTTCAGCAGTCCCAAATACTGGACGGGATTATTCAGACAAAGTTCCTTGTTTCTTTGGCGTTAATATGCATGGTTTGATGTATGCCGTGTATGTCAACTACGAGCAGATGTAAGTGTTTATCTACATTTATTAGTTTACATGTAGACAGCAAACGATGGTACATGAAACGAATGTCATATTTGAGAACTTCCAATCTAATATCTTAGCAATTACTTATATTTGCAAAAGATGCATGATACCATGGGGCTATGTTCATAGGTTACCAGAATAAAGTATAACTTCGAATAACAAACTTGATGCACTCAAAGTCACTCAAGGACTAAAAGGTGTATAAAGCCTAAGTGTGTCATGTTAAGTTCGTAAGCAGTCATTCCACGTTTTATGTAAAATGGAAAACACAAATTTCCAGAATTAAAATGATGATGTAAAATATCCAAAGTCTGTATCGAACATTATATACACATTGTCATGATTCACTAAGTCTGTATCGAACATTATATACACATTGTCATGATTCACTAAGTCTGTATCGAACATTATATACGCATTGTCATGATTCACTAAGTCTGTATCGAACATTTTATACACATTGTCATGATTCACTAAGTCTGTATCGAACATTATATACACATTGTCATGATTCACTAAGTCTGTATCGAACATTATATACACATTGTCATGATTCACTAAGTCTGTATCGAACATTATATACACATTGTCATGATTCACTAAGTCTGTATCGAACATTATATACACATTGTCATGATTCACTAAGTCTGTATCGAACATTATATACACATTGTCATGATCCACTGGTTAACATTTAGGAAAATACGCAAAGAACCAACATGCAATGGATTAAGTTCTTTCCGGATTTTTTTTACAAGGATCTGTAACCATGATAAATTTTTTTTGGAATTTTACCTAATAAGCCTGGTATTTCCTGACTTTTAACCAGCATTTTGTTAGACTGTGTAAATCTGGTATAATTAACATTCTAGCGGGGTAGGCATGCTTTTAATACTGTGTAAATTGAATATTTAATCATTTACCGAAATCGCCACTTTATCAATTGCTTTTGAATGGTTTTGGTTTTTCTATTTTCTCGTTTAATATATAAACATTTAGCTGTTACGAGTTGCTGGTTTATCATTTAAAGGTTACAGATCTGACTCAGTATTGTTGAGCAATAGTTTTTTCTACATTTAAAGTTAAAAATGAATTTCAATGCTTGAATTAATAAAATGTAACTTGTTAAAAGTAATCTTTTGAATTTTAAAAACAAAATCTGGTATGTTTGATAGTAAGTCAACTGTTTACTAAACAAACAACTTATTACAAATGTCTCTTATCGTTATCCAGTATATTAGTTTATCTTACCTCCAATACATTTCTAGGAATATGATTGGTTAAAAGCGTCTGCGAGGAGACCGTGTATATTTCATATTAGGTTAGTAGGGAGGCGGGGCTTAATTCATACACGGTTAGTAGTGGTGTTACGTCCCTTTGTAAAAACAAAAGGGTAATGAGAAAAATTCTTAAAGGTTTCAACAGACGAAGAAATTGATGATTAAAATTGAAATAAATTCATAAAACACATTTAAACCTAACAAGTTGTTATTGTTGGCATCTGTTTTTGTAGAATCAATGGAAGTAGTTTCTTAATGCTAACGGTATTGAAGACTTGCTCATTTTGATAGTTCACTAGTCTAAATTTTACACGTTAAGATAGTCGGTAAGATAAATCCGTTACATAGTGTGCTAGTGACGTAATACGGTATATATGGGGTCAGTAAATTCCATATATACCGTATTAGGTCACTAGCACACTATGTAACTAATATTATCAGCAACATATTAGGAAGGAACTGTAATCATCAGATAAAGGAATCGACTCATCTGATCTGAACACAGCACAAAAGTCACACAGTACCTTTCTAAACTAAAACGTGTTCGAATCCAAATACATCATGTATTGCTATGATAATACAGTACAAATCCACAAAATATAGGTTAGATGTTATTAATAGTCTAAAAAATGCCTCACTTATAAAAAAAAACTATAAAAATGACAGAACTTGTTGAAATCTGAATATCAATAACAGTTCTGTTTCTGTATTATGTTTAAAAAACATGAAAAATAACCGATTAAAATACTCCTAAAAAATCTACTACAGTGGTAAATTGGCAACCTTTAGGAATAAGTTCATTCACTAATTCACTGATAAATAAGATTTCATAGAGTGAATACACGTTTATTGGATCAATACACACCATGGAGTGGAGTTTTTATAGACACAGCAAAAATTATTCAACACAGTATTTTAATCTATCAAAGAATTCAGTAATTGTTTTTAAGCAATGTTTTTGTCATGCTATCCTACACTGTTTTTTTTTTTTTAATTATATATGTATACATGTAGTGTTTACAAGAAATTTTTTTTTGTATTCCAGAAACCTGACAGACATATCTAAAAATGGAAGCATAGTTGGTTCACGTGTTGTCAAGTTCCATACAGTTAATGAAAATTCTTGCTTATTTTGTACAGGCGGTCAAAACTATATCACGTATAACGAAAGTTGGACAGGTCCAGTAAGGGTTTATAAAATTGCCACCATAGATACACCAACTGATATATGCTCTGACGACAACGGCCACGTCTATGTTAGTGGACAGGGATCGAATAACATACACAGATTGGTGTGGGAATCCAAAGAGCCTAAGATGGTAGATGACTGGTATACACAGGAACGGGATTATAAAGTATTAGACATACCATTGGATACACATCATGGAATCAAGGAACCAGTCGCTCTGTGCTTCAACAAAGACTATAGTAAACTGTATATTGTCAACGAATGGGGAAAATCTGTTTTGGTTTTTGATGTTATATGATTATTGAATACAAATACAATTGTTTTGTTCAAACTAAACCTATTAGCTGCGTCGGGTGGAAATCGACCTTTTTTAAGTGTACGTATACATGCATATGACTTTTATTTGTTTCAGATTATTCGAATACTAAACAAAAGATAACTTTTGGTCTGTTTTGTTGATTATCTTATAACAACTCAATTGTCAAATGGAAAACACTTTCAATAGAGATATTTCGCAACCCAAACCAGATGTCTTGACATGTATTTGCATAAGGTCTTAGCTTATACAGGTTATTTTTTTTAATGTGTTTTGCTTTGATAGATTCGTATACTAATCGAAGCAAAATCATATATGTGATACAAAGAATGCAGTGTGATGAATATATAGCAATACATTATCTCACTCTCTCTTGTTGACATTAACGTCCTAAACTTGTCGTTAGGTGAGAAGATTTCATTCATGTTTCATGCCTGACTGCAAGTTTGAGATGAAGAGCAAAGGAACATCGCTGATTTTAATCATCTGCTTTGGTCAGGTGTGTTCTGATTTTATGAATTTATAAACTATGCCCTTTCTTTGTTACAATATATACCAATCTTCACAAGGTGCATGTTGACATAACGGCTTTCTATATAACTGGTGTAAGTAACCAACAATTAGGACTGGTGATAATTATTGTTGATTATGTTGTAATCTAATATGAAATACTAGTAGGTCGGACCATATATATATTTTAATTGAAAAATGTTTTCGTGAATTGAGGAAAACTTGCATTTTCGTGGATATCTTATTTCGTGGTTTTGGCAAAGTCTGCATACATTACTTTAGAAAAAATTGTAATTCGTTGAACATTTAACTTTGTGGTTCTCCTGTAACCACGAAATCCACGAAAACTGGTATCCAACTAATATTAATCAATCCACAGTACCATATATATTCATATATCATATTTGGATCATTAAGTGATACACCATATTTCCTTAGTTTCCAAAAGATTCATATTTATCACTCTTTACAAAAGAGGGACGAAAGCTACCAGAGGAACAGTCAAACTAATAGATCGAAAATAAACTGACAATGCCATGACTTAAAATAAAATGACAAACAGACGAAAAATAGTACAAAATACACAACATAGAAAACTAAAGACTAAGCAACACAAACCCCAACAAAAACTGGGGATCTCCAGTGTTCCAGAAAGGGTAAGCACGCGTCGTGATACTCATGTTATAACAAACCTGGTATATAGTTTAATTCGGTAGGTCACATTTGTGAAAAGGGAGACGGATTGTAGTTACGACATAAGGAACATATTCGATATCATCTGTCAAACTGATATTCCATAACGGTCAACAAACTCGTGATGGCGTTCGTGATATTTACGAAATGATGATTTCAACTTCACCAATTGGAACTCTTGGTTTAAAAGCTTACTTGTGAGCAGCAACCCTCTATCAAGGAAATCATTATAGGTAAAACAGGCCCGGAAATATCGAACAAAGTGAATTGAGAAACTTGTATATCAAATTGCTAACAATTGTCAAAATGAAATAAAAATCATTTAATAATTATTTATCGAATTGAACTGATTAGGATTGGATGACTTTTGTTAATGGTTTGTGATATTCAATCATTATAGGGTTTGGAAAAAATTGAGAGAACGTTTTTTAAGTAACATTCTCTTTCTTTTTTCTAATTGAATAGTAAAAATGTTTGAAATTTTGTTTTATTAGATATGTTATGGATGTTATAAGGGTTGAAAAATCTTACCATTCTTCCATTTTTTTGTGTTGTATTAGGATTTTGTTTCAATTCTTCTACTGAAAAAGATATTTGATTGAAAAGAGTACCTTAATAGTACTCCTTCTTTTTTTGAATGCGTTAATGTATTTAGTGCTCTCAAGACTTATATTGAAGAAACAGCGATCCAATAAAATGGAAAAGTAAGAATATATTTCTTAGATCATATTAATAAACTACAACAAGTAAGATTCAGACGGATTCAGACTGGTCGAGTAAACAAAAGTACAGTCCAGTGCATATATAGGCCATTTCAGACTTTACTGGTTTGTTGTGATATATATAAGTCCAGCTTCTTTAAATAATTTCCAAGAGGATCAACCAATATCAGATTCTTTTTATCATGGTCACATAGCAAAATGTTCCCTTTTATTGTAGCTGCTATCCCAGTAATCCGGCCAAAGTCATGGTTGAATCGGCGAAGGTTTTGGGGGGGGAGGGGGGGGGCTATCTACAGATCAACATCCTACAGGACGTATATTTAACCAACTATTTGGTCGTCCTTCTGACAATCTAGACACGTTATGAATATATTTAACGAAAACTACACAAGATCTGCCTTCAACAAAGAATTTAGTAAGGCTAAAAATCAATGCACGTAAAATCAGTTAAAAGCAACTCAATTTATTTATATCATTCTGATACTAGTATACAATCTGATAAAGCTTTAATTAATGACGTAAAATAGTTTAGAAAAGAATACATTCAGTTTCTCTTCAAATAAGAAATCTTGTCTTATTTTGACATGAATTAGCCTCTGAAATTTCAATAAATAACATCGTGTAGTACTCATTACAGTAATGAGAAAATATTTGGTCGTGAAAAGGAACTTGTCTAACCTATATTCTGTCTTTATACTATATTATATGTTCCTTCCTTAGAAACATTAATGAACATCAATGCTGTTAAGTTATATCCCCTCTAGTCTTACATCTAGTCGATATTTATATTTTGGCATTGAACAAGATCTTGCTTTTGACTTGTTTACACTTAATTCATTGGAGATGTGCTAATTGATAATTTTGTCTGGATAAAGATAATTTTTTTTATGTTAAATTAGGTCTATAACTATCTTTCAGGAACGGCGAGAAATATGAAATCAGAAAGTTTTGTTCTGAATACGTTTGAGTCAAGCCTTGTCAAATTGTGTTGTACAAAAATATTAAAAGATGTGGTATGATTGCCAATGAGACAAATCTCTACCAGAGAATAAATGATTTTTACAGTTTATTTTTTTATGTTGTGCTTTTGCACTCCTTTCCATGGATAGAAGAAGGACTGCGTGCTCACAATCATGTTTATCCATGTCTATGTATGAATAAAAGAAATTTTGTTATTGTCGTCGGTTTTTTTAAATATTCTGCTATACATCAGGCCGTTAGTTTACAATTGAATCGCCTTCTATCATTCTGGGTCCCTTCGTACCTTACTGACTTATTCATATCCCTGTTCTTTGGTCTTTGTTAGATAGTCGGCCATACTACCACATCATATTTTCAAGTTTGTTTATTAACAACATTAGTTGTGATTTTACGTTGTCAAATCGATGTGAATGAAACAAGGACATAATTGCATTTCATGAAGTCTTGTTTTAAGGGGAAAAGTATTAAACTGATCTGAAATTAGACTTGCAGTTATTTCTTCTACAAATATAGATATCATTACTTACGATGTAAATTCTCGATCCGATATTTGCATCAATGAAAAACACTTTCATTTACCTGCATCTGTTAGTGCTCTACATCCTCATTTATTTACTATGAAATCTCGTTTGTACTCTAAAAGACATGCTGTTCGACTGTAGAAAGGATAGTATTTTAATGTGTTTACAAAATCGGAAGATTTCGTATCGGTACAGTACTGATCTCCTCCAGCTTTATACGGCTCAGGCAAATATTCATACTGAAATAATAATGAATGTTGCAAATCATATGATTGAATTCATAAGTCAGAAAATATTTAGGATGTGCATTGTCAAGTGGTTATAGTTCTTATTCTTATACATGAATTTATGGTTAAACGAAGAAATCCAGCAATAAATGTTTAATCATTAGAACACGTACAACAGAGGGCAATTTTTAAAATTTTGTTTTCATAGCGGGTACAATGAATCTATATTATTCTTGAAGTATTCATTGTTCTTTGAACGATGTAAATTGCTAATGGAGCAAAACATACGTAACACCTTTCTTAATTCTTCCACAGATATAAAGATTTGGTTTGCAAACTTGGCTGTACCTGTAAAAAACTTATTTAAAACGGTATAGCTCATTTGTTAACCGAGCCTGGAAATTAAAACTTTAAAATCCTGTAAATAACTTATTCTAAAATGTTACCTTTTCAACGCTGTAATTAAATCTTTGAATATTGTTTTTGTTGGTATAAATATTGATTTTGTTATCAGTAAATTAATACTAAATATTACACATATGTATTTTACGGTTATACATACTTAGCTTCATGATTTTTTTTATTGCATGTAGTTGTTTTTGGCTTTGAACCAGCTGCCAGTAACTGCAAGTACTCTCAGATCGGTACAAACAAGTATGTAAAGCAGTTAAAAATGTGCCTTTACATCAGTTTAAAAACTCTATTGATACACTGAAATATAAAATGTTGTACCAAAATACAATATCACGGATACTTTAGAATTTCAGAGAAATTTTCAAAATGAGGTTTCGCTTTGTAAACTCATTTCTCAAATCAGACTCGGTAAACATGCACATGATATATCCAGTTGCAGTGATTTGTTATATTGAGTTAACAAAGAAGATCAGTATATACAGAAAAAAAAATGTGTCCCTAGAAAGTGGAAACAAGATTAAAACCAGAGAATCAGCGATGCAAATAAATCAGTCTAGAGGAAAACACATTATTCAATTTAGAATTGTATCAAAAACAATATATATATACCTTTGTCATTTTCACAGAGACATAAGTTGACATTCCTGGTGAAGATACAAAACCTGTGTTAATGATATCCGGTTCTTCTTCTGGATCATGTAGGACAATCTAAGAAAATGCAGAGTTATGAGTTGTGTTCATTTAAATGTAAACACCTTTTTTTATACATGAACAGATATTAGAAAACACACACGCGCGACATATGTATACTTACATACATATAATGTATTTGTTATGTTAAATTATTTCTTAGATTCAAAATGATATATCAAATTTCATTTTTAACCTTCGCTCAGTTATTGTAACGTTTCGTGTTTCTTTTACGTTTAATCGTTTTATTGTAAACTACACATCTTTATTCACTGAAACGGAGGTAAAAATGACAGTAAATATATCGATTAGAAAGTAAAAAGCTTATTATGACGAAAAAATAAGAATTGAAAAAATGTAAAAAATGTTTGACAGCGGTATTTCTTGAATCATTTTGACCTTTTCCCGTTTGTTTTTGTTTTTATTTTCTGCTTTAAAGCATGGCTTCTATACATTGTTTTAAATTAATTGATAAAAAAAAATCTGTTACGAAATTTGTGTTTCATTCATTAAAGGAAGAAATTCAAATATAAAGCAAAAACATAGCATATAACATTCATTTAAATTCGATCATTCAATAAATAATTGACCTGCTTATTAAGATAAACTTTCTAACATTGCTTTTCGTTCCCTTAGGATACGTCATATTATATAGTCAAGCTTTTAATGATACAATTTTAATGGGAAATCAATCAAGCAACATCGTATTGATAATCAATGTGCTATAAATTAAAAATCATGTGTACATCTTTAGTAGAGCGACCATTTGAAAACTGACATGGAAAATTATTCATGCATTTATGTTCATTTTACATGTTTTAGGTACTGACGTTGTTTATCATCTTTATGACGTGTTATAGTAATGTTTGTTTGTATTTGTAACTTGTTAACCTTTATTGTTTAGTCCATGTTTAGTAATATCCTTTTGCGTTGCTCGGTACATATAAATCCCGTCATTGTGTTATTGTGCTATGGTCACTTTTTTGGAATTCTTGTCTTTCATTTTTTCTTATGTGCTTTGTCTATATGCCATGTTGTTTTTCTTTGTTGACATATTTGTTTGTTTTTATGGTGATTAAGATAATAACCCAATGTTGACTGATGTACTCCTATTTTTGACATTTTTACCTATTATGTCTGTTTGTTTTGTTTACACATTGTTGTCAGTAGAATAAACATACAAGTGAGAGGTTTAGCTAACTATAAAACCAGGTTTAATCCGCCAGTTTTTACATGAGAAAATATGATAGTTGTTTTCCATTCATTTGATGTGTTTTAGCTTTTGATTTTTCCATGTGATAAGTGACTTTCCGTTTTGAATTTTCTTTGGAGTTCGGTATTTTGATATTTTACTTTTTTATAGTAACTATGTTTACTTTAAATGCAAGTTTCATTTATAATAATAATTTTAAAGCATAAATGAAAACAAATATGTATTTCATAATTGTTTATATGTTTGAACGAATATGATAAAAAAAAATACTACAAGACATTTTGTTTAGCAAGTTTTGTTCTTTCAGCATTTTATAAAACCTTTCTACTACTTAGCAGATCATTTGATCGATTGGAAAAACAATCGATGTAAAACATGAGCATATAATTTTAATTAGATCTTAGGCATGTGCTTTAAGAATATTTTTAGTCATTGATGGACCATCCGAGTAGACAGCACATCGATCAATAAAATCAACACTTTATAAATTTCGTGCGATTGAAGCATTTTTCCGGGATTTTCATCAAGAACTATCAAACCCAATCAGTTACAGTATATAAATACTTGTTTACGTGTAATGGCCATAAGAAACCTTAACAAATAGCAAATTCATCAAAGGTCATCATTACCTGAATGAGTTGGAACCTTAGTTTCTGAATATTTAAAAAATTTATCAACGAAAAAATTATGAAATGTTTGTAATAAATCATGTCAGAACCGAAGACTAATAAAGTGATGATACCTTCGGGGACAAACAGTCCACGATTAGAGATATCGACCCAGTGCTAAAAAATTGATAATAACAGTTTACAAGTTTAACCTTTTTAAAAAGATACGCAGTGCTTCGCGGTATCAAAATTACGTCAGTTTTTGTGTTCGGTGTGATTTTTAGGGAATCAATTGGACAGAGATATACTTCAGGTTTAAACACCACTCCAAATTCTTACATTAATTTATTCGAAATCCCTACCAATAAATATCTTTAACTGGTAAATCATCACCCATTTATATATTTCCCAGCTATCAGACATACAATTTACGGAAGCCATAAATGGACACACAAAAAAGAAAATTAATCCGTTATCTCGGTTTCCAAATCCATTATCTTGAATCCCAAGCCGTTATCTCGCATTTCCAGTCGATGATCTCGGATTAATAATCGTTTTATCGGATTAGCAATACGTTATCTCGGTTTAAGAATCCGTTACTTCGCAATCCATGAACTCGGATTAATAATCCGTTATCTGGAAATCGCAATTCACTAACTCGAATTAACAATAGGTTATCTCAGATTCCTATTCGGTGATATTCTATTGTTAATTCGTTATCTCGGATTTATAATCCGTTATCTTAGATTCCAAATCCACGATCTCGGATGATTAATCCTTTATCTCGGATTCGCAAGCCGTTATCTCGAATTAATGATCCGTTAATTCAGATTCTCAATCCGTGATCTTGGATTGATAATCCGTTATCTTATAAATAATCCGTTATCTCGGATTGATAATCAGTTATATTGGATTGATAATCCGTTACCTTGGATTGTTAATCCGTTATCTTGGATTCCCAATCCGTGAACTTGATAATCATCCGTAATCTCGAAAAAACAATCTAGTTGCCAGGGCACGTCAGTCATTTTGAAATTTTCATAAGCGCATGTACACCTGCCATTTAACATTGTTGTGAAGTTTCATTTAGTTTGGAGCATTTGAAATTTTGTACATTTTTTCCGTTTCCATGGTAACTGTGGCCATTTTGGATATTTCAAAGTCAATTTGAACATCTGCATATGCCAGTCAATATTTGTATGAAGTTTCATTAAATTTGGAGCATATTGATTTTTAGGACATTTTCAAATCGTGGAAATAGCATACCCCCGATTGCAAATCTGAACATGCTGGTTAATATTATGGTGTAGTTCCATTGACGTTGGTTCATACATTTCCGAGATATAAGCTGGATAAAAAAAAGTGGAAGAAAAATTATGAGAAAAACTAGAATTGTTATTGCAAGCAATAGCGGAGGATGTCACCCTATATTGGATATTGTCACAGTAGCAGCAACCATTTTGAAAATACCAAAGTCAAACTGCACATTTATTATACATGCCAGAACTTTCATGCCTTTGATCCCCCCTTTTTGTTTTCTCTTCCCGTAGAAAAAATATGCAATTATCCCGTAAAGTTTGAGATCTATATATAGTTTGGGAAATCTTTTGAATCTAAAATTAGATCGACGCGCGACGAATAACGTGGCGTCACGTGACTCAAGTATATTATCGTAGACTTAACACATTAATAGTATTTTAGAGGGGACCTTCGAACAGACAACATGTGTATATATTGACGGAGTAAACTACCAACTGTTCATTTCGTTCTTTAATAGGAAACGGATGGTTGATCGCAGATCACACGATGCATGCAAAAAATAGAATCACAAAAATACCGAACTCCGAGGAAAATTCAAAACCGAAAGTCCCTAATCAATTGACATAGATATATTTTATCTTGTACAATTTAATTACACGTTTATCGATTTATTTCAGCTAATGTGTATAATTAAGCAGGTGTTGAATCCCGGATGTGTACTTTAATGCAAGTGCAGAAATGTCACTAATATGTACTCTTAGTGTTTATTCCTTTCTAGGTCAGGACACCAAGCGGGACTCACGTGTTTAGTAATTCTTACTCGATTCAGTTTTCATGCAGTTAAATTAGATTAGTTGTGATTCTCTCTTCATATCACGAATTTTGTATAGAATAAAAGCACGTTTATGCCTTTTTGTTATTCTTTGTTGATATATTTGTTTGTTTTCATAGTGATTAAGATTATAACACAATGTTGACTGCTGTAGCCCTATTTTTGACATTTTAAAATATTATGTCTGGCTGTTTTGTTCACTCATTGTTGTCAATATAATTGAATTTTTTGCGACTGTCATACAAGTGAGAGGTTTAGCTAGCTATAAAACCAGATTTAATCCACCATTTTCTACATAAGAAAATGCCTGTACGAAGTCAGGAATATGACAGTTGTTATTCGTTCGTTTGATGTGTTTGGGCTTTCGATTTTTGCCATTTAATTACGGCTTTTCTGTTTAGAACTTTCCTCGGTATTTTTGTTATTTTACTTTTCAATGATTTTTTTTTTCTTATCATACTCTAGAAGATGTTAGCAATACAGCTTTGTATTTAAACATATGCACATACACTTAATTACGGAACTTTGCCTCAAATTTACGAGGTGTGTTTATGCTTTTTCCATGGCAACGGCGGCCATTTGACAATTTAAAAGACAGTTGACACTTTAATAACATTTAACCGGGTTTGATCATAAAATTGCAAGAAAATGATACTTTGACGTTTTATCCCATATGGGTCAATATTACACTTTAAGCATGATAACAGCAGCAATCTTAAAAATTCCAATGGCAATCAATTGTACAGTGCATACCCTCAATTCAGGTGGTATGTTTTGGGGTCGTCTCTGTAACGGTTGATGAACTATGAACTAATTAGTTTTTGTTTCTCATTTTTTTTATTTTTGGACAGTTTCCGTGGTAACGGTGGCCATTTTGAAAGTTTTAAAGATGGATGGCACACTTTCAAATGACGAGGTTTTTTCCTGAAAGTTTTATTAAATTTGGACCACTTTTCGGTTGTTAACTTTTTTGCCGTTTCCATGGTAACGGCGGGCATCTTGAAAATTCCAAACCCTTTGTGTACATCTGCACATGGGGATTGTCATTATGGTGCAGTTTTATCAATGTGTGTCAAGTCATCTCCGAGAACTAAGCTGGACAAAAATGTGGAGTGTAAAATCGTAACAATAACAATATAATACAAAAGAAAATGCCTGTACCAAGTCATTAATATGACACTTGTTATATATACAACTCTGTTGAGGGTGTCATAACTACCATGATACCAGCAGCCGTATCAATATTGAAACAATAAATACCTTGATCCCAGCAGCCGTATTGGTATTGAAAACATATTCGTGTTGTTTAATATCCATGTAGAATGTTAAAGCCGTCGGTGATCCAGTCGTGCTGCTCTTCACTCTACCTTCCATTCGTAATTTCTCATTACCATTATATGTAAAACACTTTTCCCATTGAGTAATTTTTGGGGTAAGAATTGTTTCACAAGAAACGAGGTGTTTATCATGTTCACAAAACGCAAAATTATCATTTAGGCCGAAGGATACTTTGTCTAGCCTATCTTCAGACACAGAGTCGTTTAGTTCAGAATAAACAGGGTTGGTGTAGTCGATAGGTGGAAACACATCTCCTAGACGACTTCTGTGTAGTAAATGCGACATCATTACCGCACTAGCATTGATAGCTGATCGTTTATATGGTGACATATTGCAAATAGTTACAGCTGGATAAAGCATTTCTTTTACAAACTTAACATTGATATTGGTCAATGTTGGATTTGTCATGTAGTAAGCAAGTAGTTTGGGGACCGTATATCCCAGTATGATTCCCATTCCTATTAAGGCAATTGTCCATATTACCCTGAAAGAAAATGGCTGACATGAAATGTGAATAGAAATAAGGAGATGTGGTATAAGTGCCAATGAGACAACTCTCCATCAAAGTCACAATGTGTAAAACGTTAACCATTATAGGTTAAAGAATCTAGTTTAATATTGATCTGCACTAAAATATATACTTATAAATATCACACAGAATGAAATAGGAGGCCATCATAACTAGTTTGCAGTCCTTCCGAATTATGTGACCTATTCCTTCCAAGTTATCTAACATTTACGTTGATGCTCCCCATAGTTGTCTACATGTGTACATTGTTTCTATGTTTTACAGTAAGATTGTTTGGCAATATATATGACATTGTATACTATATAAGTTTTTTTATATCATCCCGCAGTTGTGTTCTTTAATGCACATATGTAGCGTGACTAACATCTATAGCTAGCACAACTTTTCATAAATTGTCTTGATCTCGCAGTGAGATTATATTTTTGCTCCATGTTTAAGGGCATACGATATAGTTTTGATCCCACAGTGATTTTTTGACGAGCATTTGCATACAAGTTTTTTTTTAACCTAGTCAATTCAAATATGTAATTAAAAAAATAATATACATCCATGTTCTACCTTTAGACATTTACTCCAAATTTCGGTTTCTTGAACATTTCTACCCTTTGAACAGACACTTTTTTGTTTCAGGCGGATTTTGGTAAAAACATTCGGAATATCGTCTTTACATAGGTATACCAAAAGTTTGTGTAACTTTTCTTTGGAAAAAATTTATTTTCATTATTTTTTCTTGATTTCATAAAAAACCAGCATTTTTTGCTGTATATTTATCCAATTAAAAAATATTCATCGGTGATTTCTTCATAAAAATTGGTACACATATTTGTCATACGTAATCAAATCAAACGTCATTTTAAAAAAGAGGGGTCCATGTACTAGTTTCTAAGCTAATGATTAAAATCAGTCGAAAAATGCATCTTTTCTAGATATTTTACAGTTTGACGTCGCGAAAAATAACATTTTACTTTAGCAACGTCATTACCTTACCTGTAACTGTATCGCATGCCCTTAAGGCCTCGTTGAGACTTTGACACGAAGAACAGCAATACAAACGTTTTTCGTTTCCTTATTATTTTTTCATGCACGCATAGTGAATTTATGTCATAAATTGATACACCTATCCATTATTTTCCATTACAATAAAAAAAATATCATTATTAATCATTTCAATTTTTAATAAGCAATCGTTAGCAATTTCAAAATATTTTGAAATATATATTTTTTCAACATAATTAGTTTTTTCATATTATCCAATGCATAAAATAAATGATAGTGGCAGAAGCGGCTTTTTCTATCAAATTCTATAGAATCATTTGTACAGAAATTAAAATATAAAAGAATGAACGATTATCAAATTGGTAATCATTTCATTTTTAAACAAAATAACACTGATTCTAAATCCTTAATATTAAGACATACATGTACCTGAATGTTAAAATGTGAAATAGATGAACACGATATTACCATGGAAAACTTAGGAAAAAGTTGTTTTTGTTTTCTTAAAATTACACTAGAGTCTCTAAAGCGCCTGTGTTTGCTCACCTGGCTCTTTGAACATCTTCAACAAAGGCCACTCTCCAACATTGTAGACTAGAATATAATTTATGATAACATCTCTTTTTTGTTGATCTTATATTGCTGATTATTTTTGTCTGTTTAGTTTCCCTTGATCTACTATAGCCAAAACACAAACATGGGTAAAAATCATCATTCAAGGGCGGTATTTCCTACAAGAGGTGGACTCACAATTTTGCTTTGTTAACCTATTTATTGATCAATCTTGCTGATAATTTTTTCCTGTTTGCAGTTCCTCCATTTGCTATAATGTTTTGCCCAAAACGCAAAAATCGTAAAAATCGTCATTTAAAGAAAATAACTTCTATAAGCAGTCAACTGAAAATTTCCGCTATGTTTGACTTAACTGTAGATCTTTGTCTTGTTGATCTATAGCATGTATAGTTTTCAAGATAATTGGCAAAAACATCAAAAATCGTCATTTAAGGGCATATCTCCTATAAAAAGTTGACTGACTAGACCATGTTGATATATTTGTACGTCTTGTCTTTTTGATCATATTAGGGATTAAAGTTTCAATATTTCTTTAAAAGTTTCAAGATAAAATGCAAAAGTATCAAAAAAAGAATGTTTCTTAAGGGCAATATCTCCTCTAATGAGTCTTTTCACGATTTCGGCCATGTTCACTTATTTGTAGATATTGTCTTTCTAATCATTGTTCGGGAAAAGTTTTCTTTCAATCTCTTATAGTTTTCAAGATAATAGGCAAACATGAAAAAAAGGTAAGGGCAATAACTCCAATTAGAAGTAATATGACAGTTTTAATGTTAATACACAGTAAGGAGATCGCAAAATTCTAAAAAGTTTTGCTCCTGTCTGATTTTCTCTACCTAAGCGATTTTCAAGATGCTATACAAAATTTGCATTTTACTTCACCCCTATGTTATATTTTTAGCCATGTCGACCATGTTTGTTGACAGGCAGGATCATGGGAAATATGTTTTAAACAAGATACCTAATGGTTATTGTAGCCAAGTTTGGTTTCAATTGGCCAAGAGGAGACTATCTTTGTAAAAGTTTACGGACGACGACGACTGACGCAGGACGCCAAGTGTTGAAAATACTGAAATATAGCTGTTCTATTGTAGGATGGATAACTTGTTAATGTTTTTATAATTACATTTTACCGAAAAAGCTAAAAGTATAATTTTAGAAACAAAATGTCATGTGGAAATATATTTTTATCCAAGTTTTCGGTTTGAGCGTTCCTGATGAAAATAAATCGCTTCGGACGCACCACTTTTTTTTTACAGTTTTATACGCATATCATAAGTCATTATTAACTAAAAGCTAAAATATAAAGGTAAAATGCACATTTAATTTGTGCTGGTCTAGCTTTCGTCTTTGTTTGCGTCTCTCTCTCCGTTTAAAATCCAACATATCATTTTATGCTATTTATCTTTAATACATGACTTACAATCTGAGTTGATATTTATTTTCTTTCCGCGCATACTTTATACCATGCATTGTTGTATTTTCTTGGAACTTTTTACATAATGACTCAAAACTAACCGAGATGATGTTTGCTTCGAAAGTACATATTGCTGGACAATTTAATTTATCCGTAGAACTTTCACTTTTTGAAGATATACTTTCTTGTACATTGTTTTCAATTCTTTTATATTTTGACTTGCTCAAAAACCTGAAATCCCTAGATCTTTTAGGAACGACAAACCTGTAGATAATCCGAACATATGAATCTAATTTATCAACTTTGAATGTTATGTAGACTAACGTTTATCATAAATTTATTTTTCTATCTTTTTCGTTATATAAACATGATAAAAGCAATAAGTTGTTATTTGTTCTTTATCACTCTGAATAAAACAAAAACTTTTAATATAAAATAATCAATATGCTCTTTTGGTTTATAAAAATGTGAATAATTTCCCCAGACAAAAGCAAGAAAAAGAAACGTAATTTAGGGAATCAAGTTATTAAATATAGTAGAATGTAATTTAGAAGCCACGCCACCAGGACGAATTAAACTTTGAATGAACAATAAAAAAAAACATAGGCATGTGTTTGAATTTTTTGGTTTTGTATGATTTGTATTTGATTGTTTTTGCAAAGATGATAAATCTTATTTTTGTTTATTTGTTTATTGTCGGATATTCCATATGTTTTCCCAATAATAGTTATGATAATGATAAGATACATATCACTACCTTGCAGATACTTATGTTTAAGGTAAATGTCTGCTTCAATACCAACCTATACAAATATAAACTCGTTAAACATTTTAAGGATACATCTAGACGTCGATGCCATAATTTCCTTTCTACAATATTGCACAGAGAGATATAATATGACATATATCTATTCGTCTTAAATAGAAATGTGAGTTAGATAAGAATAAGGCAGCAACCGAACGAAATAAATCTGAAAAGATATTTAGAAACAGTTGTTAACGATTCAAACATTTTTTAACATTCCCTACCGAATAGATTTCATTAGAAATTAAAAACACCTTCATAAATATATATAAGAAGATGTGGTATGAGTGCCAATGAGAAAACTCTCCATCCAAGTCACAATTTGTAAAAAGTAAACAACTATAGGTCAAAGTACAGCCTTCAACACGGAGCCTTGGCACACATCGAACAGCAAGCTATAAAGGGCCCCAAAAATGACTAGTGTAAAACCATTCAAACAGAAAAACCAACGGTCTATATTAAATAAAAAACGAGAAACGAGAAACACTTATAAACCATATCAACAAACGACAACAACTGAACAACAGGTTCCTGACTTAGGACAGGTGCAAACAAATACAGCGGGTTTAAACGTTTAACAGGCGCCAACCTTTGCCCTAACCTGAAGTAGTTGTGTAATATTACAATATAGAAAGGCACACTATAACATATCAGTTGAAATGATTTAACTCAATGAAAAACACATATTTACAAAAACAAGTAAACATACACTGAACGAATAAATTTGATCTTTGAAACAATATAAATACAATATTGATAAAAAAGAGTGGGAGATGTAAACGATATCAGAAAGACAACTATAAACTTGGACAAAATTGCGTGTAATAAAATAACGTACACAGGTAAATATAATAATTTTGTTGTAAGGAGTACATGGAGTACGGAAATATTTTTCTACAAAATAAATAGATTTGCTGTTCATGGTACGAGAACAGAATTGAAAATTTGTCGTGATACTAAATACTTATCAAAGGTGTTACATATTAAAAATAGTGAGACGTGATATAACACAAAATAAGTAAACATTGAATAACAAAAATGAATTACAAATTGTGTCAACAGATCAAATTAACTAGAAAGTACGATTT